TAGGCCTGCAGGAGCAGCTGACTGGGGAGAGCTTGACTCTCTGGGCACGGAAGATCGTCAGAGGAAAAGGCTTTCCTCAAAGGAAATGTTTTCTCCACGTAAACTTGTTTTGCTGAATCAGTAAACTGCAGTTATTTGAACTACTTTGACACCAAAGAACATTAAGCTTCTTTAATGTAAGCCTGACAAAAATCTGTCCTTCAGAACTCCTCCTCATTACATGGCATAATCTTCAGTTATATGATGTGCTGACCTCTCTGTGCTTCATATTTTATTAATTTTTTAAAACAGGGTCATCTCGGGAAACCTACAGAGAAGTGTTCTGGATATTTTATAAAACCTGCTGTATTAACCAGGATTTTGTGGTTTGGCTTTTTAATCATCATGAGTAAACTAACTTAAGCATCAATGTGCATGCTTAAAGGACACAATTAGGGGACCATACTTTTTGGTTATGTTAAAGTATTTTTACACTTTTATATAATATTTTCCCCCAAATTAAGTAACAATTCATTAGTAACCTTAACATAGTTATTAAAGAAGAGACAGGCATCTAGGGTAGTTTTGCAGAAGATGCAAACACAGTGATTACTTCCTTAATAAGTATTGAAATCATTTGTAATGTGATATTCATTATTAAATATTAGCCAAGAAGACCCGACTCACAGCGTAACATATTTGTAAAGAGATAATTTTCCTAAAGTGAGAGTTCTTAGAATGAAAGATGTATGAGAATCATACACAACACCCCAAAACACTGATATTTCACAATTTAAACAGAATTAAACTCATATACAGTGCCTCTCCCAAACCTTCCCTCCCATCTGGATTTGTGTTTTCAGATCGGGGACTTTGCCCTGACCTCTATTTTGCAGTGTGTGTGGCCTGCCTGGCCTTCCCCACTTGAACTAATATGCCACATCGTGTTTATTTCTCTACACCTCTTTGTCCATTTAGATTTTAGAGCTCTGTCCAATTCCCCAGGCCCTTGGAACTCCCAGCTTTGGCTTTTCCTGGTCTGACTCGCTCTGCTGGCACTCAGGCTTGGCACAGTTAGGCTAAACCAGTAGGCATCACCAGAATTGTTTCTATTTGGCTACAGCGCTTAGAACTCCAAAATTGTGTGGATGATCACAAGTATCTCTTTCCTCAGTGCCTGAGGCAGAGGCTTTTAGAACATGGCTTTTACTGCTCTTTTAAATGCTGGTATATTTTAGGGTTCTACTCCAACCTCTCTGTCTCGCTCTTCCCAGTTTTCATTGCAGTCTCGACAACTCTGCAGCTCCCAGCTGCTGTCGTTCACTTCCAGGCCTGTACCTGTAGCCTCGATCCTTCTCCTGACCTTCGGCACTGGGTAACTCACTCCGTGTCTCATTGGCACCTCTGTAAGGACAGCAGCTCATGCTTCATTTTCCTCAAGGATTTGATCTTCCCGTTCCTCTCAGTCTAGTGCCTGACGCCAGCAGGCATCTTTGCATCCAGGTCAGAAACCCCATATTCATGTTGATCTTTTTCTTCCTCCAAACAGTGACCGAGTATTGTTGATCCTGAATCCTAAATATCTTGGAAAATAATTTTTTCACCATTTCTTTTGCTAACATCTTAAATCTGACCAGCGTCATCTTTTAAGTCTCTGCATCAGTCGTCTAACTGATCTTGTTCTAATCTCACTCTTTTGCAATCGGTTTCCCATATTGCAGCTTCATGATGATGAAATCATTTGAACATTCATTTGATCAGATTTTCTTTCCTGATTAAAACTCTTCTAAGGCTTACCTCCCTCCCGCTTGACTCCTGCTCATTCACTGGGCTTCCACCTACGCTCCACTTTGCTCTGAACACCTAATCTGGCCTTTTAACTTGTGTGAAATAGTACTTCATGTTGTTTATTAGACCATATGCTTCCTCTACCATAACATTTATAGAATATATTTATTGCGTTACTCAGGTTACCTGTTTCTGTCCCCACTAGAGATTACACACTCTGTAGAGGCAGAGACTATGTCCAGTGTATTCATCTAGTTTGTCTCTGTTATTTAGGACATTGTTTCCCGTATTGTAGGAGCAGAAGATAGGGGTATAGTGATGCCTTATTTGTGGTAGGAATATGTGATTGGATGCACTTATAGCAAAGTATCAACCCATAATATTCATTGGACCATTTCTCTGGAAGGTGATGGTAACTAGTAATTAAAATTGTGTTAGGGTGAAAGTAAAGCCATATCAGTTACTTTTATTACTCTCATGTAGGATAGACTAATTGACATTGCTCTCAAAAATCTCCTGTGTTTTTAAGAAATAACATTACATGTATGAGTATTTAGGAAAGAGAATGTCTTCAAACAGCCAAAATGTGTTTTTGCTTTGTTACCTACATTTGGATGTGGCTAAGGTGATGTATGTAACCAGCAATGTATTCTATATCACAGTCTTGTCAACTTCATGGTGTTATTTACCTTCTCATCTATTTGTCTTCCCTCCACTGTACTGTAACATAAAAGGCATTATCTGTGTTATTCTATTTGGGGGCATATCCGCTACTATTTAGTAGAGTACTTAAAAAAAGTAAATGCACAAAAGATGTTCAAGTGTAAAGCCTGAAATTTTGCAGGCTTTTCTGGCAATTTCTGAGGGAAGATTGGAATTTGTATTGTTTTATTTTGACTGACCTTACAGTAATGAGCAGCATATCATCCTAGCAGCTAAGATGATACGTTGTGTTTAGGGATGATTGTTAGTTGAAATATTTGAGTACATAAGACGGTCTTTGCTGAGCTCATAGGACTATACTGAGTCTGCTTGTTAGTCCTTATCTTTTCTTGCTTTGTGATGATACCATGCTAAGGGGAATCCCTAACAGAATTTTTAAAACTTGAAGGGCTCATGTCCAGGCAGGCAAATACTGATAAAAACATTTGAAAATGTAGGCGACCCAGAGAGTCATGTCTGTCTCTTCAGTTAGTACATACGTTATCAGTAAAAATAATGGTAGAAAATAAGGTGGATTCCACATATCCAGATCACTGGTGAGGTCTGCTGAGTTACTATGGCTGTCAAAATAACATGAATCTGACCAGCTAAAAGAGTTAGGTAAACCTCTTTTTGCATGCATGAAATTTAAAAAAAAATCATAAAATTTGCTGGTAGAACAGGACAGAAGTTGGTTTTTTCTCATTTGAAGATGTCCAGAAGTATGCAGTCCAGAGGTTTTAGCAGCATGTGAAGATCACATCCTGTCACTTGATGTGGTGGGAAGAGACTTTTTCATTATCTGAGAAATTAAGATGATGGTAACACCTGCCTCACGGAGTTAACAGGGTGCAATGACGGAAAATATGTGAAGAATTTGCAAACATCCTGGCTCATTGAAAGTGCTCAATAATGCTATAATTTGGATCTATAGTGGCCACCAAAGGCCAATATGCTAAAGACTTAGCTATCAGCTTGTGGTAGTCTTGGAGGTGGTGGAAATTTTAAGGAGTAGAATCTAGTGGAAGGCAGATGAGTCACAGGGAATGCCCTTGAAGGAGATGCTGATACTCCAGCCTGTTTCTATCTTTCTTTCTTTCCTGGCCACTATGAGGTGAGCAGACCTCTTCAACCACATAATTGTCCCTCAACGTACTGGCTCACTACAAGGCCAAAAGAATAGGGCCAATAAACTATGGCCTGAACTCCTGGAAGCTATGAGCCAAAATAAACCTCTCTTCTTTATAAGTGGCTTATCTCTACTATTTTATCACAGGGATCAAAATCTCATGTGATTTATTAATGGGGGGAGCCACAGATTCATCAAGTGATCCCACTAACAATTGTGTAAGTAACATTCTGATAACACACACAGGAAAATGGTAAAGGGTGCTGTAAGACAATGTAATGAGGTTTCTGACCTAGCGTGGGGAGCTCTGGGAGGAGTTGGCATCCAACTGTATCCGAAAGGTAACTAGGCATTAGCTAGGTGGCTGGCTGGGGTTGGTTCCAGTCAGAGAACCACCCCATCCTGAAATATGAGAGAGCTTCTGAGAGGAGCAGAAAGAGGCTTTGTGTCCGGATTTCAGGAAGTGTGGCCGCAAAGGGCAGGGCCAGGGGGACAGTAGGGATTTTGGTTTTTTTGAAGATTATTGGTCAGACACCTACCGTGATGAGGTGATAAGGAGGGCTTTGCCACGGCTGGCTGAATATCTGCTGGTTTCTGGAGCAAGTTTGGTATTTTCCAAACCCTCTCTGGTTGATGAGCCCCAGGATGGGTACCCGTAGGCAGCTGGTGTGATGCGGAGGATCGCTATGTTGCCTCCCTCGGACCCTGGTGTGATTGTGCTGACTTGTGAGCAGCACAGGCTGTGTAGAGGGACGTCCCTAAACTAGATTTTGGTTTGAATAGTGAGCCTGGCCAAGGCTGTGTGTGAGTCTCTATGGGAGCAAGTGCTTGGTGTGTTGGGATAGCACCGTGCCGCACCAACACCTAGCCAAGCCCAGATAAGCAGGCCATAAGGCTGCGGCTAAGATACGAGGAAACGTCTCTGCTGAGGCCTGTGTGACTCCAGAGAAAATTCCTTCTCAGAATTGATTAAAAAACAGGCTACTCTTTAAGCACAACCTGAATCTGGCTGTTCTGTTCCTTTTGTAAGAATGCTTTGTTCCTTCTTTCACAAACCTTGCCTGCCCAGCCACTTATCTAGCACATCCAGCTGTAATCCGCTCACCATTTTCCTCACTGTGAATGTGATCAAGAAACATGGAGGTTCTGGCTGCCTTGTGGCCTTTTGTTCTCCGAGAATAACTGGCCATCCCAGATCCCCATTACATCACCATTTTGTCTCTTGCTCTTTCTTTTCACTATGCGCCATAATACTTTGCAGGAGACTGAGGTCCACTGCAGGGGTCCCCAGTAGTCTGATATACCTTGAATTCCTATATTAGTATGGCTCATAATTCTGAAGGTACAAGGTCAGGGGCTGCATTTGGGCACTGACTCCTGTCTGACAGAGTCCCAAGGGAGCATGGATGTCATATGGTAAGTAAGAGGGAGTGTGCGTGTGTCTGTCTGTCCAGTGTCTTGTTCTTATAAAGCCAACCAATATTCAATCATGGGGGAAGAACCTCATCCTAATTATGTTCCAAACACCACAGTTGGGTCAAATTTCAACCCTCTCAGTACTGTAAGAAACAAAGTCTTTTCTATCAAAAATATGAACAAGAGAATGTCTCTGTCTTAAACTCTAGTTCATTCTAGGATACCCCTGCTTTGTCTTGTGCACAGAGTTTCAAAAATGTTTATTCAGTTTAGATTCAAGGAACACAGGTAACAGCCAAAGAACTTATCAGCAGCCAAAGAGTTTTAATGCCCTATACCCTCACTGCCTCCCTACCCTTCTCCACCCTTGGCCCAGCAACCCTTCGTGCCACTTAAACTAGCCAATTGTGACAGATTATGAATATTCAGTCCAGCCAATGGGAAAAAAGGTCAGCTGCTTCTCATGCCTTAGGGTAAAATAAGCCTGCTACAGCCTCCCTGTGGACCTGATACCTCGTTGCTGGGGTGTGCCTGCACCTTTTTGCAAAAGTAAAAGCTTGCCTTGTCTAGATTTCTTAATGTCAGAATTCTTTACTATCTGCACTGACAAATTGAGTTTGGGGGCTTACTTCCAACAGTAAATGACAGTGGAGATTCAGTTTCAGCATGTGAACGCCTGGGGGACATATTCAACCATTTCCAAATGGGTGGGGTGCTAGCTGATTGCAAAGTGCTTAGGGTAGTACATTGGAGATCAGATAATTAGGTTGAAGGGAAATTCATCTAGACTCAGACTTCCTCATCTACACAAACATATTTCAGTAGCTCTAAACCCGAAGAATGAATATATGGACAATCTGATAAAATTTATGTTTTGCTCTACAAACCACCAGGATAAACAACTCCATGGGGCAGGGCCGCCCATGTGACTCTTACACACTGGACACTCACTCATTCGGGCTCACACTGAACCCAGCAGTGGGGGAGCTTTGCTCAGGGTCTAGGACTTACCAGAGACAAAGCAGCCTTCTTTGCAAAGCTAAGCACTACTTGTTTCCTTGAAATTGGCCTAAGGTCATTGTCATTGGTACTGGGATTCAGGTTAGAGCTAGGTTTTTTCACAGATAATATTGCAGAAGGAAATCAACACATGTGACATACTTGTACATAAGTCATACTGACATCGCAGGCTTTTATCCCCAGTACGTTTGACCAAAACAATACAGAGAAATGAAAGATAAGGAATGAAGTTCAGGAATAGTAGGACTGCAACAGGGACTACAGATTATCCACTGTGTGTGAAGTCTAATCACCTTTGACTTTTTGTAGTCCACCTACTCCTATAAATGTAAAAGTACAACATTCTACACTTTCTCATTGCCAAAAATATTCTCTTTGTGAAGCTTACCAGATTTGCCAAAGACACCTCCGTCTGAAGAGGAGAGCAAGGAATGCCGTCAGCATGCTTTGCTGGCATTTGTGATTAAAGTGCCTCTGTCTTCTTTCAGATCACCAGCAGGATCCACTTTAATGTGTAAGTGGGCAGCAGAGAGGAGGCAAGGGCACCAACTCAGAGAAGCGACGGGTGCAAACCTTGGTTACCCACACTCACGGATGAAAACTGCCTCACTAGAGCTGCTGCCTGTTGAAAATATCAAACTGAATTTTGAGCAAATGGATCATACTTTTGTTCACATCTTAGATTCCTCGTCAGGCTGATTTCCCCCTTCTCTTCCCCAGTGGCTGCACCTTATCTGACTAGCATGTGTGAAAGTCAATTTATTTTTTAATCAGGAAACTATGGAAACAGGCTTAATTTGTGATTTAATCTTTACTCATGGAAGCACTAATAGTAATTAAAAATTAATCTAAGAGTAAAAAAGATCTTCATGCAAATTTTTGATATGTTGTCATGAAGGTATTAAGATATCACAGAGAAGTTGTTCCAAATATTTCCAGTCCTTGAAAATTTTTTAAAAATGACATTTCTTCTTGAAGTCAGCATTACTGTGGTAATGAGGAAGTTAGGAATTAAAAGTGTTTCTGGAAAGGAACTATTTCTCTTGGCAAACAAAGTCTCAGTAATAACACATCAGTGTATGTTCAAGCCACAGTCAGTGCTACCTAACAAATGTCAGAGTTCAATCAGAAGTAATGCTTTTCATTGGTGTCAAACAAGTGCTGAGGGCCTGTACGGTGTTACACAGTACAGGAGAACAAGCTGATGTGGCATCATTACTGCAGCTAAGTAAGTTAAACAGAAAAAGTGAGATGAAGCCAACCACTATGGTGAAAAAGGAAGAAAAGGGCTCTGTATTTTAACACATCACCCGATTGTGTAATGGCGGAAGAAACCTTGCAAATGACGGCTTGAGTGCATTGCTGGAATTTTTGGAGCCAAGGTTTGCTGTTGTCACTTAGAATCATAGGATCCACTGCATAACAGTGGTCCTTGATTTAGTGTTAGAAAGTCCCGAGGGCCCATAAGAGCCTTTTAAGGTATCTATGTGTCCTCTTTTTCTTTCCAACAAAATATATGTGGGAGCCAATTTTTCTTCACAGACTTCAATCAAAACGACTTATCAAGCATAGAACAAGCAGATGGGCAAATCCAGCCATGTTTTATTAAGCAGGAATTATAGTGATTTGCAAGCATGCAAAAAATCATCACCCTTTTCACTAATTGCTTATTGTCTTAGAAAATGTTTTTTTAAATAAAAACTGTCAGTTGTTTATGTTAATTTATAGTGATTCTGTTATTTTAAATGAGTTTAATAAATCTTTAAAAATTTCTTTTAGTTTCTAATACTATGAATGTAGAGAAATATAATTCTAATAAACAAAAATTTTTTTTTAGGTTTCTTACCCATGTGTAAGGGAATAAAGAATATCATCTTGCACCAGTAAACATGGATTTTTTTTTTTTTTTTTTGGTTTTTCTCTGGTACCGGCAACTGAACTCACGACCTTGCACTTGCCAGGCAGGCGCTTTTGCTGCTGAGCTAAATCCCCAGCCCCCAGTAAACATGGATTATCAATGAACAATAGAGCAAATATTGGTGAGTAAGTGTGTGTGTGGGGAGGGGATACCCTTGCACACTGTTTGGGGTATGTAAGTTTGTATAGTCACTTTGGAAAACAACACGGAGTCTTCTCAAAAGATTAAAAATGCAACTACCTTATGATATACAAATCCTACTTCTGGGTCTGTATCGAAAGGGAAAGAAACCAGTATGATACAGAGGTATGTGGACTCCTATAGTCACTCTAGCAATATTCACAGTAGCTAAGGTACAGAAACAGTGTGAGTATCTGTCTTAAACAACTTCTCAAAACTGCTTTTGTCAGTGACCAAAATACATGACGGGCACAATTTGAAGGGGAAAAAGTTTATTTGGCTCACAACTTCCTCAGTGGGTGCTGAGGAAGAAACATCATGGCAGAAGGGTAGAAAAGCCACTAACCTCATGTCTTAGTCACTTTCCTTATCACTGGGACAAAATACCCAGCACCCACAACTTTAAGGAGAAGGAGTTTATTTTGTCTCACCTTGTTAGAACTTTGGTCCGTAGCTGGCTGGCTCCAGGGCAGAAGAGGCCTGGGAAAGGGCCTATCTTTGAGAAAAGATGCTCAAGTCATGGTGGCCGGGAAGTAGAGAGTGAAGGGAGGCTCTAGGGAGGGAAGTGCACCCTTCTAGGCCATGACCCCAGGGACCTGCTTCTTCACACCAGGCCCCACCTCCTCACAGTAAGTCAGCTATAACTCCCCCAGAACCCAGTCACCTTCCAAACACATGATGATGCCATTTTAGATCTGAACCATAGCACCCCATGGTAGCCAAGACACAGAGGCAGCAGGAAGGAAGTGAGAGGAAGGATCAGGGACCAGATATGGTCACAGCCCAGGACTCACCCCGACACACCCAGAAGGGGGCTTTACTTACTTCTCTGGCAGCATCTCTCCAGCCAAACATATTATCAGTCAAGATGAACCAGCCCAGTACCCACCAACGGAGGAATGGGTAATGGAAATGTGGTCTGTATACATAGAGGAGCGCTGTTCAATATCTCAAATTTTGAGTCATACGGTGCAATTTTCAGTGTGCTTTAATGATGTCATCATGCATAGAAAAGTATACCTGATCAAGCATGCCTGATTAGAGTCACACAGCCTTTCACATGGAGTCTACGACCCAGATTGTGTGTGGAGATGGCGTCTCAGGCACTCTCTGAACCTGGGCACGGTCACCTCAGAGGGGAGCTGAGGCCAGGAGAGATGGAGGTGCAGAGGTCAGACCTTTAAAATCTCAGCAGAAAATCTCCTAGTTTGAGTACGTTGTCCTTTCTGTCCGGGTTATATCCATGGTCTCATTTCTTTCTCTTTGGTACATGTTGTTTTTCCAGTGACTGTTATTTGGATTTTAGAAAAAGAATGGGTCAGTGTTTTTTGCTTGTGGTACTGGGGATTGAATCCAGGGCTTTCACACTGAAATATACCCCCAACCCTTTTTTTATTTTTATTTTGAGACAGGATCTCACAAAACTGCTATGTTGCCCAGGTTTGTGATCCTCCTGCCTCAGCTTCCCAGAATCCTGGGATTACAGGTATGCACTATCACACCTGATGGTGTTTCACTGTGTCAGGTGGACTGGTTGTGAATTTCTGGGCTCAAGTCATCCTCCTGCCTTAGCTTTCCAAGTAACTAGGACTACTGGTGTGTGCCACCGTGTAGTAAGTACATATATTTTTACGTTTTCAACTACAATATGCATGTAGTTTTTTTTTTTTTTAATTTTAAAGAGAATAAAACACAATGTCAAAATAACAACATACACAAAAATAAAAGGGCACAAAAACAATAAAAATGTTACAGGGTTTCAAAACAAAATGATAGGAATTAGTGTTCTGGACTCGCAACCAGAAACGAACCAAATGGTACCGACCGACAAACACCAAGACTCACGGACCGCCAATTGGAATTTAGGATGAGCCTTTATTCCTGGCCAGGGACTGACTGAGAGCCTCCACGCAGGGAAGGATCAGACCAGTGCCCATCCAGGGACGAGAGTAGCTTTTATACCCTAAAACCGCATCCTTTTTGGCAAACACATGTCACATCTGTAACAATGAGGGGACTCTTTTTTTTTTTTAATGGCAGGAACAGTACATTCCGAGAATCCGGGAGGGGTAGAGCATTTAGGGGAAGAACAATACGTTTTGGGAGTCCAGGAACGGCAGGGTGTTTACACCTAGTTTACAACCACACATTCCAGAAATGGTAAACATGAAGATCTAACCCCAGGGCAGGGGTGGGAACTGGGAATTAAACTAGAACCTTTGATGTCTGTGGTGGTGAGGCTTTTACAATTAGTAGTGGTTGTTATATTGCATATTGTCATCTTCAACGAAGTTGCTCAGATTACCAGATGTAAGAATGCAAGATTGATCAAATCATTAAAGAGAATAAAAAATAATAACAAATGTGTGCAGTTTTAAACCATTCTTTTTTGAATATAAAATTTCTTATATACTTTCAGCTTTTAATTAAATATTATATTACTACTAAATTTCTACTTTTCATAGTTGTAGTATAATTAACAGAATCTTTTCATTATTGCTACTTAATTAGGTTGTTTCTGATCATTTGGGATCATAGTTGAAACCAAATGAACCAACTTGATACAAATGTAGTGTGACAGTTAATTTTGCTCATCAATTTACTTGGCTTGAGAGAGAAGAGACGTAAAGTACATTTCTGGATGTGTCTGTGCAGGTCACGGGGGCATGACCTTGAGATCTCTGTTCAGCTCCCGGCCCCTTTCCCTCTGGCTGTTCCCAAGTGCTTTGCTTCCTGAACAACATGGGCTTTCCCAGGCCATGTTCTTCTTTCGTGGTGTTTCTGCCCTGGAGCCAGCCAGCCATGGATTGAAAACTCTGAAACCCAGCTAAATAAACTTTTTTATCCTTTAACTTGTCAAGTATTTTGTTCCAGCAATAGAAAAGTGACTGATATATGTAGCATTTTTTTTTTTTTTTTTTTTTTGCAAAATTGCTAGTCAAATCTCAAAGTGGGCTAGAAAAGTTCTTGTAGATTTTGGGCACTGACTTCATTTACATTAAAAAGTAGTGTTTTTGAAAAGAATAATGGGATTTAAAGAAGCAGATTATCTTTGGTGTTCCTTGGCTAGGCTTAGTTTTCAGTGTCTTTCAGGACCTGGAAGGCTTCCATTGAGAGCAGATATCCTGTTATTATGCGGTTGTGTTTCTAGAGTCCAGTTGAAGCCGGGAACAGGGAAAGCTCTTGATGGACAGAGATGAGTGAATGTGCTCTGGCGTACAACTCAGAGCTATTGGCGCGTTTGTCAGGCAGGCCTCAGCAGCGTCCACTGTTTCTTCCTCTGCGTATGACAATTTTGCTGCACTTCTCTTTCTATCTCTAAGTCCTTTACTGGAGCTACACGCAGTATGTAACATTTGAATCTTGGTAAGAAGCTCTGCTGCTTGTTATGCAATTCGTCATTTTTGGAAGAGTTCTCAGTTCATATTATCTCACAGGCAGTGCTCAACCTTATACGATGTCTTTGGTCCAATCAGACACACCTAGCAAGTCAAAGTCACTCAAAGGTAGAAAACACACAGGAGGCCCCGAAAGAGGCTGTACGTCAGACCCAGTCCCTTGGAGTAGCTCAAGTCTAGAAGCATCAGGAATTCTGAGTTTTGAGAGTGGTTGGGCTTCTTCATTGTCAAGAACATCTTTCTGATTTGTGTTCAGGCATGATTACTTTAGAGCAGTTGATGTCAACGATTCTGTTTGATTTACATTCATTCAAGCCTTGATTAGATTTCTAAGAGTGCTTTAAAGGATATTCACATAAACTTTAAGGACAAAGTAAAAAATTTGTCCCTAAAAGTTGTTCTGTCATGGGCATTTCATTAATTTTGTAGCAGATTTTTCTAATTTCATTCATATGTGATAATTTCCTTTGAAATTCTGAGGATCCTTTAGTCACTCTGTGTGACAACTGCACTAGGACTGGCTTAATTCTTATAACTGGATTTAGACATGGAGCTTTTTTTTCCTCCCTCTTCCTCCTCTTCCTGTTTTTCCTCTCCTCCCTCTTCCCTTTTCCCTTCCCCTGCCATCCCCTACTTCCTTCCCCTCTTCTCCCCTCCTCCTTTTCCTTTTTCTTGAATTGCAGGTGACCTGTAAAGGAATACTGATTGGAGCAGACAGTAAATTTCCACTTCCAGCCTGTTAAAGATCAGTGCGGGCTCAGCTCCCACAAGAAGCTTTAGCTTAGCAGACAACGCCTCACCTGGAGGTCTTCAAAAAAGGTGCCTTGTTTGAAAAGACAGTTTCCACTGTCCTATTTATTTTTTGTGATCACCTGAATTTGGGAGAGTTTCTGACAATTTTTATCTCAGATGATTCCATTAATGATTTTCTGGCTATTTAGTGTCATCTGTACATATACCATAGAAATATTTTATCATTTAAATTTTGTATTGGATTTAGACATCTTGATTATTGAAGAGCAGACTGCATACAGAGGATTTCCAATTACATCCAGACTAATAAAGGGTCATGTAGCTTGATTTACTGCTAACAAGTGACCCTTGAGCCAAAGCTGAAAGTTGGCAAGCACAGCTGACCTGTCCAGTTCACCTAGTTTTCTCCAGGGTCATTTATCTTGCATGTTCACACATTTTCTGCTTTAATTGCATTGAAAATTGGATGATATAAAGATTACACAGTGATGTGCCTGCTGTATTGAGGGGAAGTAGAGCAACCTGTCATGGAAGAATGGCAGGTAGGAGCCCTCACATTTCTCCTCCTGCAGCATGACATGTCTCTGAAACAGACTTTGCACCAGAGCACTGAGGGACTAAAGTCCTGGGAAAACAGGAGTCTGGATATCACCTCTGTGACCTCCCTCTCTATGCTGTCCAGTGATCTAAAGAGCGTCTGGTACAGGAAGATCTGCCACAACTTGGGAGACGGTCTCAGGAGAGTCACAACCTGGGCGTGTCTCCTGGGCTTCCCTTGCCTCTTCTCAGGCTGCACTGCTTGGAACCTGAAGTAGGAGGGAGGGAGTAAACTTGGGGTGTCTGCAAGAAGTCAGTCAACAAAAAGGAGGAACATTGATTTGTTCTCTGAGGACAGTGTCTGGATCTTTGGCATGAAGGCAGGGGCAATCCATCTCTGGCCATCTCTCCCAGAATGACTTCCTGCAAGCCCTAGTTTTCCCTGTGTGGGAATTTTCCTGGATTTGGATAGGGAAGAAATCAAGTTTTTTGATGTTGAAAGTGCTGCCCTCATCTATAAACAGTACTTTCCCTTTCCTGTTTGGCATTTTTGTGTCTGTTCTTTTGTCTTGAGCTACTTCTTTCCTCCTCCTCCTCCTCCTCTTTCTTCTTCTTCTTCCTCTTCTTTCTCCTTCTTTTTAATTTTGCCATTCTGAGGATTGAACTCAGGGCCTTGTGGCATGCAAGGGAAGCATTGTGCTACAGAGCTGCATCCCTAGCCATTGTACTTTCGAGATAGAATTTTGCTAAGTTGTCCAGGCTATCCTCAGACATGAGCTTGTGATCCTTTTACATCAACCTCCTGAGTAGCTGGGGATAACAGACATGTTTTTTGAGTTGAATGAGATTTTTGCTGTGACCAGATAAGAGGTAAGTAGCTATACTGCCAAAATTTGTCAGATTTTAAAATTAATTTTGTTGGCTGTTTGTTGAGAGATGATTATTTGATAACTGTTTTGGTAAATTTTCCAGGTTTTGTAGCTAACTGATTTTTTGTAGATTTTTAAAACATCTTATAGACTGTAGCTAGATAAGTATGGCATTTTCAGAGGAGCTAACTTTGGGGCGTTAGAGTGGGTTAAATATACACATATCATACATTCCTTCTGTAAATTTGTACTTTAGCATGACAGTAGCCAGCTGTGTGTCTCAGCAGCTGTGCCTGGGGGATAAGGGAAGAAACCTTTTTATTTACTCACGTACAACCAATGGCAAGGTGAGTACACAGTCCAAAGTGAATGTCAGGTGGTTCAAGTTCCTGTAACAGTGAAATGGAGTCGAAGAATTGACTGATACAGACACAGGAAGTGAAGAGCTCCCTGATTCAGATGATGAAGCAAGTAGCAATATTAGTACCTGTTTGACTAGTCAAATGGTCTTGCAACCAAATGGGCTGATCTAGTGTTAGAATTAGGTCCAAAAATAGAGTGAGGCTCTTGGGGGGCCGGGAAACACACTTATTGGACAGAATGCCAGCACTGCTGTGCAATGTTAGAAATTGTTGGTAACAGACAAAATCCTACAAGATGTTGTCAAATATATAAATGTTTCAATACAAGTAAAATGTTATGGGTGCAGTGATTTCCAGACTTAAAAATGGATTTATGATGACACCTCACTAGCTGAACTGAAAGCTTTGGAATGTAAAAGACTTGTGGGTGTGGGCTTGAGCTTTGTAGAATAACAATGACACTGAGATTTGGTTTCCTTAAACATTGCCTGAGGTTTGCTGACAAAACCACCTGCCAGGAAAGAAAAAGAACGGGCATTCTAGCAGCGCTCCTCTCATTGTTTGAGAGTTTTATTTCAATTGTCAAGCAATTTATACACCATCTGCATACATGACTATTGATGAACATCCTGCAGCATTTAGTGGTTAATGTAGTTTTAGGTAGTACGGCCAAAAAAGCTTTCAAATTATGGTATAAAAATATATGCCCTGGTAGTTGCAAAGATATACTTTCAATTTAGAGATTTATCTTGGAACTCAGCCAGCAGATCTTCATTCCTATCACAAGAGACAGAATGATTTTGTGAACACACTTCTGTTCCCATCTCCCAAACTAATTGGAATATGATATTCAACAATTGGTTTACTAGTTTCTGATTGATGTTACATTTGCTACCAGAGCACAAGTTGACCAGTGTAGAAACTTTATGCAAGGACAAAGCAGAAATTCCCAAAGAAATATTGCAATTTCAAAACAGAGAATTGTATAGTACGTCTTTGGATTTCAGAAAGATATAACATTGGCCTGGGATATGGAAAAGAAAAACTGGTACTGTTAATGTAAACATTGCACCATGACGGAAAATTGACAGAGAAACTGTTACAGTTGGTTGGACCGAAATGGTGCACTGTCTCTCTTTACTGATGTCAGCACTCTGCGTGACTTCCTAAGTTTGAGCCTGAGTAATCACTAGGATGGTGGAGTGTGCATGGTTGGATGGAGAGAAGGGAGATGGATCACACAACTTCTCTGTTTTGAGGGTATGGAAGAGTGGATAATCACTAAGTTGAATGAAGGAAAGGGGTGACTCAGCTCTTTTGTTTCTAACTGTACTAAGGCCTCCACAAAGCTGAAGCCTGTGGTGGTAACTTCTCACAAGAAACCCAAAGGCAGAATAGATGTGTTGATGAGTTATCCTGGTGCTATGTTGTCCCTTGAAACAAAAGCGTTGGCCAGTGTGTTTTATTCAATCCTAAACACGTGTGGCGTAAATAGTTTGACAGTTTACAAAGAAAATAACAAGTGCAAAATACCATAGAGAAACTTTCTTAGAGGATTTGCACTGGAACTCATAAGAGATCATTGATCACAGAGGAAGACAAAATGTTTCTGTCCAGGGAACTATGCCAAAAAACATTCTGGTGCACACTGGTGATCTGACAAGTGAACAGGCAAGGGGCAGCATCACAAAGACCTACTGCAACAACAGGAAAACAAAAAAGATGTCAACTGTGCCCTACAAAAAATGACAGGAGAGCAAACATACATGCTGTCAGTGTAAGTGGTACTTGCAGATGGAACATGTAGTTTTGATGTGTGAAGACTGCCTCAGGTGTAACAATTGAAGAAAGATTATTTCTGTGGTAGACTTTTGCTTGTATTTACATTGTAATTCACATAGGTTTTTATCTCTGATGTTATCTTTTAGGTTTTGTAAGCAAGTAAACAACTGATGTGAGAATGTTGATGTCCATTCTAAGCATTTGTTACATCTTTGATATTTTACCGATATCTTATTTTCCTGCTAAGTGCACATTGTATAATATATAACAAAACTCCTGACAAATGAGGAAGATAGCAGAGGTGACAAGAATGGCCTGCCACACAGGAAAGGAAAACTAAGAACATGTGTTGTCAGTGTAAGCAAGATGTGTACGGAACATACAGTTGTCACATATGAAGACTGCGGTGGGTGTTACAGTTGAAACAAAGATTATTTTTGTTGTAGAGTTCTCTTGGTATTTCCCTTGTGGTTCCTAGAGGAATATATTTCTGATGTTATCTTTTGGGTTTCATAAGCAAGTACATAGCTAATGTGAAAATGTTGATGTTTATTCTAAATGTGCAATGCAGATTAAGAATTTAATACTTTATTTTATTGATGTTTTAAATTCTTATTGACTACACATTGTATAATATAATGAGAACCTCCTCACAAAACAGCAAGACCAGTGGGATGTTAAGAGTGTCCTACAAAAAGACAGGACAGCAAAACACACATGCTATTGGGGTAAGCCATATGTGTATGTAATGTGCTGTTGTCATGGATGGCGTCTGCCTTAGATGTAATAATTGAAGTAAAGGTTATTTTTGTTGTAGAGTTTTATCGGTATTTTCAGGGTAGTTCATATAGAAATTTATTTCTGTTGTTATTTTTTAGATTTTGTGAAAAACAACAGTTGATGTTGAAAATTTTGATGCTTTTTTTATAAATACTCAATAAATATTTAATATTCCATACTTTACTTTTTAATATTTTTCCTGTTATGTGCTAGTTTTTTAATACAATAAAACTCATAAAATGAAAATTAATAATTCATCAATAGAAATATTCTAAAGAATAAATGCAGGCATTGTATAGCCACCACAATGCTGCTTCAAAAATCGATGTGATGCCAGGTAAGCACATAAGCTGTCTTTGAGTCTGTCATTGGGGGAAATTTATGGTTGAGAAAATAGCTGTTATAACTAAAGACAATGCTATCTGTACACCTGCTTTTCAGGAAGTAACAGTGAAAAATATTAGATTGCAAGGATTTTGCAGATAGAAACAAATCTTTTTCAATATTTCGTGTTCTTTCCTATAGAATTTCTGACAATGGTAGTTTGGGAGGAAGAAGAATCAGAGCCAATATGAGATGTTTTGATGTGGTGTAAAATTTTACAGGGAAACAGATTCTGGGAAGGAGCTGAGTTTTCCATTTGTATTTTCTCCCAAACCCAGCTGCATAAGACTTCTTAAAGGCAAATCACATTTTAAAAAAAATAAATTGCTAATGGTTTATATTTATCCTAAAGGGAATAGCCCTTTGCCCATTTAAGTAATTGGCCCATGTGTGGTTGTCAAAATAGAACTGTCTTTACAATAGGCAAAAAAAGTGCCAATAGGCTCAATCAGAGAATGTCACATTTATAAAATGGCAGATTCTGAACCTTCTGGAGTCAATTATATGAAGAGGGAAATGATTTCTGAAATTGGATCGCTGAAGTTCTGTTCACCACATGCACTTTCATTTGCAAAAATCCCTGCACCTTGTAACTGTGAGATGAAAGAACATCTCCCAGCAGGGTCCAGCTGGACTTTTTTATTTTTAATTTGGAAGAATTCTTAACCATGTGACATTAACATATATTCATCATAGATTGTTCAAGCATGCCTTTGGATTTATTTTTATTTGTAGAATTCACCTTTCCTTGCAATAGAGTGTATAAAACATCTTTGGGCCAACTTTTGCATCCAGTTTGAAGTTGGGAACTGATTTTCTGTATTATATTATGCACTCTGGAGGTGGCGCCTTTTCAAACCACTCAGGCCCTTTAGGAGTGTATTTTTCTGATTTACTGAGCCAGCCCCTTCTGAGATGACATCTCCTGCAAAAGGGCTGGGGAGGGGCACATTCTTGGATCAGCCTCTAACTTCCTTCCCCAGGAAATTCAGAGCTGTCATCCTTTTGTCTCTCCAGCTCCACTGGGGTAGGGAGCTGGCCTTTTCTTCTTTCTTTTCTTTAATCTCTTTTGATCCCTATGATCTTTTAGGGGCTGCCTTACTCTTCCCTAACAGTGGGTTTGGATGGAGTTCACTTCCATCCACTTCACCAGGTCTTTGTAATATTGAGACCAAATTTTCTTAAATAATACTTATTAGTGATACTGTATAATTTTTTTATTATATTTCATTCAGGAAAAAATGCTTGTCTCACATCCTAACTGATTTTATAGCTCATCAATAGGTGGAGAACTGCTCTTTGAAAATCTGGACAGAGCCCTGAGCTTCTTTATCCCTACTTTTGAATACCAAAGAGAGTGCAGCACCTGTGTCCTTTGGGCCAGGGTATCAGCTCATGTTGCATTTCCTTCCATGAACTTTCTATTTCTTTCTCTTGGTTATTTGAATTCCAAACCTCTTTTATCCCAGCTGATGAACTTGAGTGATATCTTTCCTTCTCATATATTGGGGAAAATGCCAGTGCCCAGGGATCCATCTGGTTCCTTTCTCCCGTCTGGTTGGATCATAGTGGCCAAGGGGGAAGGAAACCTTGTGGGGGGCTGGACCTCATTCTGTGCGGCTGCCATTCCCTTTGGATTCTAGCATCTCACCTGGCTACAAGCATAGTCAAAGCTGCACATGTGTCTCTGCGGGACCAGTGTGGCAGCCTCCTAACTCTTGTCTCACTCTTGGCTGCCTACCCAGCTCACTTCCCTCCAGCCCCAAGGATGCAGTCAGATCAATCATGCCATTCCCACCCTGTGTCCTGCAAAGATGTGATAGATCAGTGAGGATCAGTGTTTTCATTTGTCATTTCCTACAGTTACCCTCTTTACTCCCTGCGGGTACGCTAGCTTACACTCTCTCAGAACCTACAGAAGCCAGGTTCTTGGGATTCAAATCCAATTTCTGTCATTTTTAGATCAGTGATCTTGGATCTTGTGATCTAACTTGCCTATGTCTCAGTTTCTTAATCAGTAAAGGAGAATTAATAGGCCAAATATTTAAGATTATAGTTGGCCCTTTATAAGTGAGGGTTTCATATCTGCAGATTGAATTAACCTCAGTTCAAAAATATTTTAACAAAATAAGTCTAGACTGAACATGTAACTAAATTTCCCTTTTTTATCTTTTAACTTAGGAAATTATTTTATGAAATTATACAAGCCCAAGTTTAATAATTAAATGAAGAAAGTCACATTTCCACTAAATAGCAACAAACACTGGTCTTCAAAGGCACACACTCATGGGGGTGGGTTGAAATACTATCATTGGTAATCCCGGGTTTTACTTGCCGTGTTGTATAAGTGCATGTAGTGTCTGAGACAAGTGGGTTTCAGCCTCACTGTGTGTGATGGGCTTGCAGGTAGAGTCAGCCCTGCACCAAGCCCCCCTCTGCAGCCCTTCCTGGTGGTGTACAGCAGTCTGTGCTGAAGCATTGCACAACTGAATCATAAACAAATCAGTAAAAGTCACATAAAAATGTTAAAAGTTTGAGGCTCTATTACAACTGCAGGTTGGACACACCTGATGTACGTTTTATTTTTTTGGTCATCATTCTAAAAACCAACACAGCAAAATAATTTATATAGCATTTACATTGTACTAGGTAATATAAGTAATCTAGAGGTGATTTAAAGTATCCAGGAGGAAATGCATAGGTTATCTGGATATGTGACTCCAATTTATGCAGGGGGTTGGGTATCAGTAGGGAATCCTGCAAACAGTGCTTGGCAGCTACTGAGGGATGACTGCACTGGGAGGATTAAATAAGATAATTTGATTGATTATTTAGCTCGGGGCCTTGATTGCAGAATGTGCTAACAATTTATTGCCAACTCTTAATAGTCTGTTATTATCTTTGGTTAAGTGTGAAGTTGGCTGTAAATTCCACATACCCTGTATCATATTAGAAACATATGTTTAAACACTAGTATTTAAAATCTTTCATTCATATTTAGAAAGAAGTGTTTAAATTTTGACAATTTTTTACTAATAAAAAGATTATTTCATATTACTTAGGGATTGATAGGGTATACTCCTCGTTCCTTCCCTGACTGTGAAAATTGCTTCCTGTCCCTTTCCTTTTTTTCTTTTTTCCCGGTACCAGGAATTGAACTCATGACCTTGTGCTTGCCAGGCAGGTGCTGTGCTGCTGAGCTAAATCCCCAGCCCCTTCCTGTCCCTTTCCTACTCCCTTCCACCCGTCAGCATGCCCCCCACCCCACAGATTATCGTGTATAAAGAAGTATGCAAAGGAATATTAATTTATGCTGCTGGAGTAGAGATGGAACCAGTTTAGGGAATAGAACTCTCTGATTGCCTCAAAAAGTAATGCTATTGTGGGAATAAGTCATAATTCTAAATCCTAATTTTCATAATAGTATTGCATCAGTTATTACAACATCCCCTGCCTTTGCTACAACTGCCCTTCTTAAATTTCAGCTTTCCAGATCTTAACAAGATTCATTCCCATTTGTGATTCCCTAGTAAAATACAATTCTGTAGCTGTCTTCTAATCTCAGCACTCTGGGAGGCTAAGGCAGGAAGTTTGCAAATTTGGCCCAGCCTGGGCAAACTGGTGAGACCTTGTCTCAAAAAAAAAAAAAAAAAAAGAAAGAAAAAAGCCTGGGGATGGAGCTCAGGATGAAGACCCTGAGATGAACCCCAGTGTTTTACACACACGCACGTACACTCACACACAAAAGGTCAGCTCATGAAAAGCCCTGTTCACATCATACCTGTGACTCTTTTCTCCTCTGCCCCATTATTTTCTCACAGTATTCTGTCTACAAATACTCAACACCAATTGCCTTCTGCCACAGAATTCTTGGTCTAATCCCTTCTTTAACTGATGTGAGTGCCCAAAGCTAAAGCCTGGGGTGTGGGTGGGAGAGAACTAAAGAAACTCAGAGAGATAGCAAGAAAGAAAGAAGACGGGAGCTGTGTTC